CTAACAAGCTTGGCGACCATGTGCTTGGCAGCGCGGTGTGCTTCCCCTCCTGCCTGGGCTTCTCATGGTCACCCTGGCGGCTCTGGCTGTTATGTTCCTCTTGAAGACAGGTCATGAAGCCCTGCCTGACTTTATACAAGGGGAAAGAGGAAACATTTGAGCCCAGATCCGGCTCAGGATTCTGTTGCTGACGTTATAATCTGTTCTTTTAAAAACTTGGATGAAGGACCTTAAGATGTTTTAAATGTTATTAATTTTGAGTAAGTAGATACATTTACATAGTTTAGGGGGAAAAATTTTTTTTTAAGATTTATTGGGGTATAGGCTGGTGCAGGGAGGTTGGAGGGTGAATGGATTCACCAGAAACAGAGTGGGGAGCAGAACAGGCAGGTCTACTGAGGGGAGCAGTGAGTGACAGGAGAGGTCTGCCGCGCCATGTGGGTCACCTCCGGGGCAGGGATCGAACCCATGCGGAAGTGGCTTTAGCTTCTTAGTGCTGTGCTTTAACCCGCTGCGCCACCAGGGAGGGCCACATTTGTATTTTTAATGGCTATTTCTAAAATGTTCACCAAAGTATTTATACCATGTTACACTCCACCAGCACTGTCTCTCAGATTATCTTCTAGCAGGAATTTTTAATTTTTTATTTGTCATTCTAATGTTAGTGAGCAGGCTGAGGGGCCCCTGGCACTCCCCCAGAATTACATACATAATGGGGTTCAGCCATCCATACACACAAAGATAAAACAACTCTTAGTGTAAAAGCACTGTTAGTACATGAGTAGTGTGGGAGAGAGACAGGGAATAAAGGGTAGCAGTTGCCAAGTAAAACGCCCAGAGTTACCCACCGTCTCCTGGCTAAGTGTCCAGCCAAACAAGCACTGCTGCTCAGGCCAGCTTGCCAGGAGCCTAAGGCACCTTCTGCTGGAGAACCGCAGGGCGGGGGCCAGAAGGGCCAGGTCAGTGCGGGGTGAAAGGAGCAAATCAAAGTACACATCAGGATAACAGCTGCCGCCATCAGCCTCCCCACATGTCTCCTCCCACATCCTCAGGTACCTGGCACAGCCCAAAGCCGAGAAGCAGGTAGCCCCCCTCACGTCTCTCCTCTGCACCCCCGAGCCCACCTGCCTTCCACGTTTAATAGCCTCACGACTGCCGCGCCCGTGTGTTGTGTGGACTAACTTGGTGGTTTTCTTCAACGTTTTAACGACACAGTTTTTCAATATATAGATGTCCCAAACTTTTAACAGTTCTCTTATTAGATGTTTAGGCTGTTCCCAATGTTTTGGTGTCGTAGTTGAATATACTACAGGTAAATTAATGTGCCTGTATTGATTTTTTTTTTTTTTATAATAAAGTGCTGATTTGACGGCACTCACTTTCCCTATATATCCACTTGTGTGCACACACCCCTTTCTCACTCTGCCAGCTGGGCTGCATTTTTAAGTCTTGTCAATTTGAGAAAGAATTATGTCATGTTACTTTGTCTTTGTTTATTGGTAGAGTTGTTAGGCACTTAAGGCTATTTTAATTTTTATTTTGTTCATATACTTTCATACACACGAAAGTATTTGTTCATATACTTTGCCTATTTTTCAACTGTTTTGACTGACATTGAATTTTAAGAGTTTCCTACTTGTCTGCCGTATTCTGGATTTTTCATAATGTGCCTGCTTTTGAATAAACAGCATTTTTTGGTGCATAAAAACTTCTGTATTAAACCTCAGTTTGTTGTGATGTTTGTACTTAGAAGTGCCTTCTCTAGAAGTTGTTGGGTATATCATGAACAAGGGATTGAACTTTGTTGTTTTATTTGTATTCCTCAGTAGCTTTTTCCAACAACTCTTCTTTTCTCGCTGACTGGAAATGGCCTCCCGGCCTGGCCTCCACCTTCCCACTGCCGCCCCCCTCACTGCTCCTGCGCCAGCTGCCGCCACACGCCATCTCCTCCCTGCACACGGGTTCCTGCGTGTGGCCCTGCACCTGGGAAAGGCCGCGGTTCCCCCAGACGCCCAGCCGCGCCTGCATCTTTGTGGCTTTCATCTGAGTGTAGATATCTCAGTTGAAATATCCTCTGTTCACTCACCGTCCGTGACCCCCCCACTTCCCACACCCCACGAGGAGGCAGCTCTGGCCCCTGTCCTTGTGGGGACGTCGCAGCTGCCTGGAGCCCTGGTGCCCGGCACAGAGAAAATTCCTGGGACACACAGAATGACGGAGCTGGAGCTTGAGCGCACGTCCTGGGGTTCAGACGAGCTTTCTTTTCCTAAAACGTCTTGGAAGTACTGTGCTTAACCCAGCTTCTTCCGCGCTGTGCCCGTGTCTGCACTGTCCCGTATGGCAGCCTGGATACATGTCGCCGTGGAACAGCTGAAATGTTCCCCTTACGTTGAGATGTACTACAAATGTAAACTGCACGTCTTATTCAAAACCTCTGGAGAAAAAAGAATGAGAAATGTCTGATAACTCCTTAATATCGACATGTGTTGAAGTGTTTTAGAATATATTGGGTTAAATAAAATGTACTAAAATTTATTTTATATTTTTATTTTTAAGTAACTGCAAGAAAACATTAATTATACACGTGGCTTGCATTACATTTCTGTTGGGCAGTAATTTATAGGTGAATTTTAAAATCATCTTGAATTTCTAAGAAATACACTATATTTTCAAGTTGAAAGTCTTACAGTCTTCTTCTTGTAGATCCTGACTTTTTTCTTTATTCTCCTGGGTACTTTATTATGTGTTTTTACTGTGGTTATAACCTGTCATCATTGTATCTAGCATTTTGTGAACAATAGTTTCTTAAACCCTATGTTTATTACATCCTGATTCCAACCTATTTTTTTCCCTTTCGTGATTCTCGGGATTTTCTATGTAAATAGCCATATTTGCATGCGCTAGTAATTTTGTCTCTTCTAATCACTGGCTGTCTGAATTTCATTTGTTTTGCCTGGAGTTCCCAGGACCGTGTTGAGTGAGCCAGGTGGCGGGCGGCTAAGTGACGGGCAGCCCGACGGAGGTGCTGCTGTGCAGTTTCCCAGTGTGCGCCAGGGACACTGATTCTCTGGCACTCAGTATGCGCTCCTCGCGAGAAAGCTTCCAGTTAAGTGAGTTTGCAAACTGTTGCGTTAAATAGAATTCGTAAGACTTTTCACATAGATTATTATGTTAATGTGTTTTTTAATCTTGAGGAAGTGGCGTTATTAAGGCTGCGTATTGACTTGTGTTTTACTAAATACACTTTGGGAAATTCAGATATAACATTCCCATTTTAAGGATAATTGTTACATTGGTTTGTGGTAGATACCATTTATTAAGAAGACTGTTTTCTACTCCTAGCTTACTGAGTATTTTTCCTTACTTTGAAAACGCTTTTAACTTTCTGAAATGCATTTTTGGCATAGTATTGATTTGGCCATATGGTTTTTCTTCTTTGACTTACTGATGTTGTGAATTATATACTTGTATTTGTGAAGGGGCCATTCTTGTAAGAGGTTATATTTGCTAGTATTTTCCTTAGGCCTAAAATCTGTATACTTAGGTATGGTTGTCATTCTCCTTCTTTATACTCTCTGCCATCTGCTGGTGTGGGATTTATGGCTTATGAACTGAGATGCTCTAAGTGTTTTAACATGTGTCGGAGCCTTGAAGACCTAAAGATCATTGTGCCTTGGCAATTCTGTTTCTTTTTTATTTAGTTCTGTCAATTTATGTTATCCTAAAAATATGTCCATTCTGTGCAGATTTCAAATGACCTTCAGTCATAAATCTGGGGTGAGTGATGGCACAGTGCTCTTCTTCCCAGTGTTCTCAGTGACATGAAATTGTGGCGACAACGGGTTGTGTTAGCTGACGGAGCCCTGCCTGCAGGGGTGTTAGGCTTCTGGTACAGTGTGTTGTCCACTAGTGCAGTTTTTCCTCTCTTTGGGTGTAACTTGCTTTTTCTTTTCTAATCTCTTACGTTGGTAAATTTTGTGTATTTTTATTCTTTATTACTGGTAGAAAGTGTTAAGGCACCGATTTTTTTCCCTTTGACATTTGTTATTTCAAAATCCAACATTTCATTATGAAAAATTACAGAGATAAAAAAAGTCGAACTTTCCCATGGAGAGGCATTCTTGTGACTGTCTTTCTGTGTTTGCTCTGGCACATATGTCTTTTAGAAGCGTTCTCAGGTGAGGTGGAAACAAGTAAACTTCTAATCCCTTCTTGCTGCTTATTTGATAGGGGTTTTCTTACTTCCTAAATAGTTTTCTTCCTTTTTGATTTTCTCTGCTTTAATACTTAATCTGGGAGATATTTACTTTCTACTGGCTGAGTTTTAAAAATTAAAATACAGTTACTAGATCTGATTCGTTGTGTTTATGCAGCCTGTGTGATCGACATGAACATGGCTTTGGGTGCTTCTGCTAATCGGCTTCTAGGCAGGGGCAGCCTGTCCAGGCGTGTAAGCCCGCGAGCTCTCTGGCGGACGATGCTCTGTGGCATGTCCATCGCTCTGTCTAAACTCTCACTGCAAAGGGCAGCTCACTGCCCTGTGAATTACCAGCCCCAAAGGACGTAAAGAAAGGTATGCACAGTTGTAGAGGAAAAACGCAAATCAACACAGCGCAAGATTCTGAACTGAAGGCATGTAGCTGCATTTGTTGTGTTCAGGGTGCAGACTACTTCAGCTCTTCAAGAGTACGTGAAGTAGAAAACCATTTTTCCTAAAAGAAAAATTCCCAGAGCTAAAATGGCCCTGTGTGTGTCAGACATTTGAATTTTGATCAAGATGGATATTTGGCGGTTATGACACTGGGCTAAATGAGCATGAGGTTACTGGGTTCTAGATGAATCCCTCTTAGTTCAAAACTGAAATGTAAGTGCGAGGGAGAATGCTCAGGCAGCCCCCACAAGGTGCCGGAGGTGGTTGTGGTGCGGTCTCTTGCAAGCTCATGTCTGTGCTCTTGCGTGTAGCTCGGAGCCACTGGCCAATCACGAAACTCTCTCTCTCCGCAGATTACGCTTCATGTCAGTAGAAATGGACAGCAGCAGTTTTATTCAGTTTGACGTGCCCGAGTACAGCAGCACCGTTCTGAGCCAGCTAAACGAACTCCGCCTGCAAGGGAAACTATGTGACATCATTGTCCACATTCAGGGTCAGCCATTCCGAGCCCACAAAGCCGTCCTTGCCGCCAGCTCCCCTTATTTCCGGGACCATTCAGCATTAAGTACCATGAGTGGCTTGTCAATATCAGTGATTAAGAATCCCAATGTGTTTGAACAGTTGCTTTCATTTTGTTACACTGGAAGAATGTCCTTGCAGCTGAAGGACGTTGTCAGCTTTCTCACCGCAGCCAGCTTTCTTCAGATGCAGTGTGTCATTGACAAGTGCACGCAGATCCTGGAGAGCATCCACTCCAAAATCAGTGTTGGAGATGTTGACTCTGTGACCGTCGGTGCTGAAGAGACTCCAGAGAGTCAGAATGGAGTTAAAGACAGCAGCTTCTTCGCCAACCCCGTTGAGATCTCCCCCCCATATTGCTCTCAGGTACGGCAGCCCACCACAAGCACTGACCTTCGCCTGGAGACGACACCCAGCAAAGCCCTGCGCAGCCGCTTGCAGGAGGAAGGGCACTCGGACCGAGGGAGCAGCGGGAGCGTCTCTGAGTACGAGATTCAGATAGAAGGCGACCACGAGCAGGGGGACCTGTTGGTGAGGGAGAGCCAGATCGCGGAGGTGAAGGTGAAGATGGAGAAGTCGGACCGGCCCAGCTGCTCCGACAGCTCCTCCCTGGGGGACGACGGCTACCACACCGAGATGGTGGATGGGGAGCAGGTGGTGGCCGTCAACGTGGGTTCCTATGGCTCTGTGCTCCAGCACGCCTATTCCTACTCCCAGGCGGCCTCGCAGCCGGCTAGCGTTTCAGAGGCTTTTGGAGGCTTGAGTAATTCCAGCCCTTCCAGATCGATGCTGAGCTGTTTCCGAGGAGGACGGGCCCGCCAGAAACGGGCTCTGTCTGTCCACCTGCACAGCGACCTGCAGGGCCTGGTGCAGGGTTCTGACGGCGAGGCGATGATGAGCAACCCGGGGTATGAGAGCAGCCCCCGGGAGAGGAGTGCAAGAGGCCACTGGTACCCGTACAACGAGAGGTTGATCTGTATTTACTGTGGCAAGTCCTTCAACCAGAAAGGCAGCCTTGACAGGCACATGCGACTCCACATGGGCATCACCCCCTTTGTGTGCAAGTTCTGCGGGAAAAAGTACACACGGAAGGACCAGCTGGAGTACCACATCCGGGGCCACACTGACGATAAGCCGTTCCGCTGTGAGATCTGCGGGAAGTGCTTCCCTTTCCAGGGCACCCTCAACCAGCACCTGCGGAAAAACCACCCCGGCGTGGCCGAAGTCAGGAGTCGCATCGAGTCCCCCGAGAGAACGGACGTGTACATGGAACAGAAACTAGACCATGATGCATCGGCCTCCGAGATGGCCCTTGACTCCCGCATGGAAATCCACACAGTGTCGGATGCTCCCGATTAAGGTGGTAAAGGAATGCTCCCAGACAAAGCACACTGATCAATGCATATTTGTGATTTGCTTTGTTGTAGTCTTTGGTTTTCCCAACCATCTGGAAATCTCTTGGTCTCTTGGCAGTTTTTCTAAGGTTTCTGGAAGGAACACTTCATTGTGTTTATCCTCTCCCCCGCCCCGCCCTCCCCCAAGGAGCTCAGAGCATGAAGGGCAACGCATCCAGGGAAAACACAGGCTGACAGTATTCCTCTTTGGCTGAACTCTTAGTCCAGAATCTGCCAGTGACTTAGCTAATGCCAAGGGGTCAACCCCACGCGCTCTGCCCGGGGCAGGCACGCCCATCGGGCACTGGCACTGGCGCGTTTCCGTGGAGGGGCTGGGAGGCCGTCAGCTGATGCAAATGGGTAACCTTTTCTAATTTAAATTGCTTTTAGGGGGTAGTTAGACGATTTATATATATATATAATAAAGCGATTATTATATATATAGTATATATACATGCTCAAATTTGATTTTATTCTGGTTGAGGTGAATGTAAGAGGAATATATAATTTAATACAATGTGAACAGGGCTTTTGACTCTGTCTCGTCCCTACCTAATATGTTAGGGTTTTGCCCCTTTATTTCCCTTATGAAAGAATGTTAATAGGTTTTCATATATATTATCATTGTGTCCAAAAGCGAGCAAAGCAAATCACAGTGTTCATAGCTCTGCTTCATAACAAACACATAAACCAAATGCCATAAAATGCATTCAACTCTAGGTGGAAACCATTTGGGATTTTTGTTAGTTGTCCAGTAGGTACGCTGGATGATCCGTGGTGCTGACCTTTTTACATACTGTTGTGTTACATTAGCCAACCCCAAAGGAGCAGTGGTTTCCCATGTTTTTACTGGCCTACGAATCTACCTTCATTCCGTACTGTAGAGACATACATACCAGGTAACTAACTCGAATCACTCTACCCGGAGTTAGTACTCGCACTAAAGGAAAGGGATTTGCAGCTCTGGCTACAAAATCCTCTGAGCAGTGTTGTGGTTTTTTGTTGTTGTTGTTGTTTTGTTTTCTCTTTTCAAACAGCCAGTTCAGGTGCACAGCAACTTTTTCTACATGCAGTTCCCAGGGAAACTGCAGAACTTGGAATTTGTACTTTTTGTAAAGATAGACTCTATGGGAATTGCAAGCAATATACTTAGTATCGTGTGCTAACAGAGCCCCAGCGCCTCCCCCACTCTCGGCGTTTCCTGCTTCAAGAAACCAACAATTCAAACGCCCTCCCAGATACTCTGTGTCACCAAATCTGTGTGTGTCACCATATTTTGGGTCACGTGGTGCTATTTTTATGTTATGTATCTTTTTTAGGTCAGTATAGTTGTAAAAAAATGTGAAATCTTATGGTAATAAGTGAATTACAACCTTTTTTCCTTTCTCGAGTTTATAGCTTGAAAAGAGACCTCAAAAGCATGTGCTGGCAAACACGTCGCTGTATGAAAACATACCTGGGTCCTGTTTGGGTCGCGCTTTGTATCTGGTGCTTCAGGAAGCAGCTGCAGCTCTGTCCTGTCAGCTCACAAACCACCTAAAGGCAGACAACAGAGAGACTGCCTTCAGAGGCCAGGAATTAATGGAATATAAAAGATAGACCTTTGCTGGCTTCCCATGCTTTTTTGGCTCTTAAATACCAAGAATGGTAGATTTTTTTTTTTTAAGTTTCTGGGGGCTTGGGGTTTTGTTTTGTTTTTATTTTTTAGGGGGGGAATAAGTCATTCAGACCCTTGTGTGTGCAGCCCCCGGGGGGTGGCTGTGCAGCAGCATCTCTTTAGCACACAGGACCTGCTCTTGTGTGACCTGCTGTGCCACACGTCAGTGTTACGACGTACAGATCACGCTGATCCTGCCGCTCCTGAGGAGCGGCGTTGCTAATCGGGTATGTAGTATGCCTTCTCCCGTCAGACTGCCTAAGTGAGGGGTTCTGTCTCTCTCTGAAGCACTTGTTCAACTCCTGTCAAAGCCGTGTGCCTCAGGGGGAGGCTGGACTCCAAGTGTTTACCCACTTAAATATGTTCTGGGGTTTCAGGTAAATGTTTGTGATTTTTTTTTTTTCCTTACATGAATACATTTGGTTTTGATTTTTTTTTTTAAGAATGCAAAAAATTTGTATTGTGATACAAATTAAGTTGGTGACAAGAAATACCCAAGTCAAGGACTAAGAGGGTGGGCTCAGGGAAGGAACCTCCTTTTCACTCAGGCTTGGGGCCTCCTGAGAGGCCTCCAGAGCTTCTGTGAGGCACAAGGCATGTCAGGAGGGGGGAGCCCCTGGGGCAGCAGCACCTCGGATGTGCTGGTTCTTGTCACCGTGTCAGTCTTAACCTTATTTACACAGTTCTTTGTATTTGTGAATTTGTTTGACTGGTTTGAGTTTACCAAAGAGTGACTTATCCAAAATTGTCTTTGACAAAAATATACATTGCTTTGATTGTACAGTTCAGGTTCAAACATTGTAATGGGACTGTTAAGGGGCAGAAAATTGATTGAGTTTCTAATAATCATGATTCCACGTTTGGCAAGTTTACTTGCTCCCATTCATGTCACTAACACTTTACCCTTTCCACTGCTAGCAGTGTTAAGAATGAATTCTCAAGCCATAACACAGTACTGTAAGGGTCCGCGGGCTGACAGGGAGGGGCGCGGAGGCCGGCCTGGAGCTGAGTGGCCTCCCTGAGCGTGCACCCCGCCGTGCTTCTGCGTGTGTGCGGCGGGAGAAAGAAAGATCAACTCCATTCAGATCGGGCGGCAGCAATTAATTGTGCCTTGTCACATGAGGATGTGCCAGGAGGATTAACATGACCACAGAGCAGAAGCGTCCTCCCCCGAAAGTCACTCGCGTCTCTGCAGACGAAGCACGCTGTGTAGCTCCTTAGAGCAACTCTTTGGAAAGCAAAGTCCCTCTTTCTGTACAGTTTTAGGTTAGATGTTTCCTTTGTTACAAATGCAAAAATCAAGTAAGATGAAAAGTGATATGTGAAGAAATCTTTTACAGTCAAATATATCCTGAATTCTTATAGGCTTGTTCATAATTGAGTCTCTTCTCGAGCTACCTTTCCAATACGTGACAATGTGAAGACAGTGACAGCGTCCTTTTCTAGAGGTGTCTAACCTGTTATTACAAACTGTGAAAACTAAGAATTTTTATACCTTTCCTAATGTTTGTGGTTTTAAGTAGTTATTTTCACTTTAATTGGTTCTTGACCCACTGATCTACTAAAGTTGTAAATACATCTAGAAATGATCTCTGAACACAGCACATGAAAACATGCTCGCGTTTAGTGGCTGGAGAGCCTTCCCGTAGGCTCGGCCGGCCGTTTTGGTGGCTTTTTCTCTTTAGCAGCGGAAAGGATACTGTCGGTTCACTGTTAAGCAGAATATACTGTAGAACTAAGTGGATGATTTTTAGATCTTCCGGAGGAAGCATAGTAGATGTCTTTTCTAATGATAGCAGTTATAACCAAGTCTTTCGTTTTTTCCCCTTAGCCCGGACCATAGGCCTGCATATTTTTGTGCGTGGTTCTGTTTTTATTTTTTATTTTTGTTTTTATGGCCTAGACTCTAGGAAGAACTTGCAGGAACACAAAACAAGGGCTGGGGGCGGGGGAGGGGGGGTCATCTATGTGAATGAGCTTTACTTTAAAGAAATCAATGTATTTTATTTTAACAACTTTTTCTATTAGTTACTGTGATTTTGTCGTCGTCGTCGTCGTCGTCGTTACTGGTAAATTCTGTAACGGTTTCCTGTGAAGCCTCCACTGAAAGGGACTCAAATATGCAACACCTAAACTATTTTCCGAGGGCGCACGCCCCTTGAATGGTGCTTCTAGACTGGTCAGGGTTATTTATTAAATTTTATATATGAAAGTATTGGGGAATTATGTAAATTCTTTATATGGAACTCTAGTTCATAAGTCATAGATTTCATATTACTCAGTGCAACTGAACGTCAAGTTCAGAAGTCATTCACATTGTTCCGAGCTTGTAACGGCCTCTCCGTCACGTGCGTCTTCCTCAGTAAGTGCCAGAGCGCGGCCACTGTTCTGCCCAGCGCTTGACTTCTGGGCCCCGAAGAGAACCTGCTTTCTCTGGTTCCCCTCTGGGTCTGGCGCCCACGGGGCTCTCGCTGCCCGCGCCAGTCCCAGAGTCAGCCCGCGGCAGGTCGGTAAGCGGACCTCTTGCCGCCCCTCAGTGACAAGTATGCTGTGAACCCAACCTTCGGCCTTGCCGCCCAAGCCCTCGGCCGCTGCCCTGACTGAATGGTAAGAGGTCACGTGCCTGGCTTCTCTGAGAATGACCGTTTTCCTAATGTGAAAACCATCTCTCTCACCACTTACTAGTAGGGCTAACATTTTTTTCCGTTATAAATGGTTGAGCAATTTGAATGACTTAACACAGTGTCATTTTCTTGCAATATAAACTGGTAACCTCACAATGCCACACTTCATCACCACGTGAAGTAAATGAAGCTAGCTAAGCGGATGCTGTATCAACTAGTAACTTGCCATTAAGGATTATTTTATAGCATGAATTTAAGACTATTTATTCAAATGATATTTTACTCTTGTATTCATTTTGTTTTAGATTTGTGACATGAATATTTCAGTGCTGCTTAATTTTGTTCTGAATTCTTGTTTCTTGCTTGTAAATGGCTTTTTTATGGTATAAATAAAGTCAATGGAAATTGCTGTTTGTAAATAAAAATGCTGCTGGAGCAAACGGGCTGTAGCCTCCTGTATGTGCCCCTCTGGTCTTTGAGTCACTGGCTCTAACCAGCTGCCACTCCAGGTCTCACAGCTTCTGGAACTCCGACTGCTACTTTTGGGAAAGGTTGGGGTTTCATAAGAGGCGCCTGTGCCCACCCTGGTCTTGGGAGGAGGAGAGAGCAGCGGAGCTCTGACCTTTCTCAAGTACCTGAGGACTGCCTTGCGGGGCTCCCCCAGTGGGATCCTTGGGAACCCCAGCCTTGCTGAAGTGCCCCGGCGCCCCTCAGATGGACCTTGCCACTCCTGCCAGGCTTCCAGGTCTCTCACGGCCTCTTCAGGTCTCAGCCCAGGCACCCCAGGG